CTTCGTCGGTGGCGAGCGCTTGGAGACGGTGACGGGAGGATGCGCAACGTGACGGCAGACGGAGTGACAGCTGGGTCGATGAAGTTATAGGGGTGGTCCTGGTTTGCATCGCGAATTCGTGAGACATACCTGATAAGGGATATTGAGGAGAGAGATGATGGGGTGGGACCCACATAATGTTTGATGTGGGAAAGAAAGCATGTGAGTGGTGGGGTCCGCGAAGAAATATCTAATATACCCTTAGCAGTGCATAACTCTTCCGTCTTTTTAAATGTTAGATTATTACATCTTATGGCTAGGATGCATTCTTATTTCTTTCATTGATCATCATTCTCCTCGGAGCGCATCCCTATATATATATATATATATATATGGGGCGGATCAAATGGGACCAGCTCTTAAAATGAGACCAGCTCTTAGCAACAACAGACAATTAACCTAGCAACTACAGAGAACTAACCTAGCAACTACAGAGAACTAACCTAGCACCTACAGAGAACTAATCTAGCTACTACTAACCTAGATTAGTAGGTTAGTAGCAACTAGTAACCTAGCAACTACAGAGAACTAACCTAGCAATTAGTAACCTAGCAACTACAGAGAACTAACCTAGCAACTACAAAGAACTAACTTAGCAACTACAGAGAATTAACCTAGCAACTACAGATAACTAACCTAGCAACTACATAGAACTAACCTAGCAACTACAGACTAAAAAAAAAACAATCTACCAACTACAGACAACTAACCTAGCAACTGCATAGACTAGCAACTACAAAGAACTAACTTAGCAACTACAGACAACTAACCTAGCAACTAGAGAGAACTAACCTAGCAACTACTAACCTAGCAACTACAGAGAACTAGCCTAGCAACTACATAGAACTAACCTAACAAGTACATAGAACTAACCTAGTTGGAAGGTTAGTTGTTAACGGTCAACATGGAGTCAATGTCGAAGTCAATGGTCAACACCGGAAGTCAACGATCAACGCCGGAAGTCAATGAATTTCACTGGAAGTCAACGCTGGAAGTCAACGGTCAACGCCTGAAGTCAACGGTCAACGCCGGAAGTCAACGGGTCAAAATAATATTTAAATAATTAAAATAATAAAAAGAATAGAGTAAATCTTGGCCACACATGATGTACCAAATCTTGTGGTTAAAAATGAGTCTCACGTCCTCACTTTAAATAATGGGATGCATTGGAACCAATCCCTATATATATATATACATTAAATGTAATTGTGTGATTTATAGTATATTTAATTGCAACTGCTAACAGTAGAAAACTAATTCAATAAAAAATATACAACAAACTAATTAACGAATTTGATTGGTAATTTTTATTTTTAGTTGAAATGATTATTTTGATCGTGTTGAAAAAAAAATTTGATTGGTAAGAGCGTGTTCAATGCTGCGCCAGACTTCATTCTCTGCGCTAGAATGGCGATAAAAACTGCTCCAACCCTACGCTACATGTCTGTGCTATTGGAAAGATGTGAATAGTGTTTGCGCCAGATGTTCCCACGCTACTTTTTTTCCTTTTTGTTTTGTTTAATGTATTTTAATGTGATATTAATGATAAATTTTTGTATAATGTATCTTAATACATGTATTTTTATGCTAAATAACTTTGTATAGTGTATTTTTTATACTAAATAATTTTATTTATTGATGTATTAAAAGAATAATATATATTTTTATTATTTGAGTAATAAATATTTTATATAAATTTAAAATATACATATAATTATATATATATCAATTCATCTTGAAATAAAAAATAAATAAAATATATTGTTATTATTTGGATAATAAATATTTATATAAGATTAAATATACATATATATACTAATTTATTTGAAATAAAAATAAATAAAAAAATAATATATTTGATGTAGAGTAAAATGTAGAGATAAAGGCTGGACACGAATGTTTCATTTCACTCTACACTATTCGCGATAGAGTAGAGATAGTGACAGGAGATAGACCTAATTTTGTACGCTAACAGGTAAGTGCATAGAGCCAGTTTGACCAACACAATATGGGCCACAAGTTAGCCGTAGGAGCTGTCAAAAAAAACAAGTTAGCCGTAGGCCTTGGCGATGGCCCCTTCAACATTGCCCATTGGAGGTCGGAGATTTATCCCCAAATTGCACGGGTTGCAAGTCTCATTTGCTTTTGCACTGTTGTGTTAACCTAGTTTTTCGATTTTCCGGAGGCTCCCGCACTAAAATTCCATTGATAGAACAGATTGCAATCACAAGGTAAATTCTTTTCGTACAATATTTTTCTGTTGAAACTCTCGTGTGTTTGGTAATGGATGCTTCTTCGATTTCTCTCTCTCTCTTGGTAAATCCTTTTTCGTACAATATTATTCTGTTGAAACTCTCCGTGTTTTTTTTAATGAATGCTCGATTTCTCTCTCTCTCTCTTTTCGGGGAAGAGTCGCCGAAAATGCTGTCGCCAACTAATTCAGTGGATGCAAACTCGAATGCTTTTAGCCTGGAGTTTGGTAATGGTGAGTTCACGGGTGCTGAGCTGAAGAAGATCATGGCGAATGAGAAGCTTGCCGAGATAGCATTGAGTGATCCCAAGCGGGCCAGGAGGTAAATATATTAAAAAAATGATATGCAGTTTTCCCATCCTAAGGTGTTCTTTGCAAATTGCAATATAGAGATATGATGCATATGTGTAATGTAATCTATATTTATTTACTGGATTTGTTCTGAGTTTAGGATATTAGCCAATCGGCAGTCAGACTGCTCGGTCGAAAGAGCGAAAGATGAGATATATAGCAGAGTTGGAGCAGAAGGTCCAAACTTTACAGACTGAAGCAACTACATTATCTGCCCAACTTACTCTGAAGCATGTGAGGATTAAAAAATTTTAATTATTGGCTTTGGTTAATAGTTGTTATTATAATCCATTGATGTTATCTTTATACTTTTTTTTTCTTTTGAATATTTAGCGAGATTTTGGTGGACTGACTAGCCAGAACAATGAGCTGAAGTTCCGGTTACAGGCAATGGAACAACAAGCTCAACTCCGAGATGGTATGAATTTTGTGTTCTATATTTACTATTTCATTTCGTCTTCCTGAGGGTGTCAACACCTACTCTGGNTAAACGAGAAAAAAAAATAAACATAAGTAAAACTAGAAAAGACTGCTCATTCCTACTTGAGTGAACTTTAGTCAAGAGTGTGTATTTTCTGTTTAATAGTTGAGCAAACAACTGCCCACTCAAGTGAACCTTCTTTTTCTGTTTCTAGATGATTATTTGAATTATTACTATGAATCGGATTTTAGGCTCAGTTGCATCCCACGAACAACTATGGTGTCTGTTTCTGTTCATCCCACAACCTAGATGCATCATAAACTGTTGATTACACATGAAATCAAATTAGATTGTAGGAATAAAACCACCACAAAAGTTCAGCCTAACTACAAAATACTCCAAAACATATCAAAACTAATTTCCGGCTATTTCGGCTTAGTTTCAGCAATTTATAGTTTCTTCAAAAAGTGCAATTACATAAGAGAAAAGTAGTTATAAGTTCAATGGGAAGTACCGTCCATGGCTGCAACTAATTTCCGCAGCAAAAAATGATAAACAACGCATTACAAATTTCTTCATGTTATACATCATGCATGATAACGACAAAATCAAAACTAATACCATTGGTCATACACACTACATGGAAACATCATATAACCAAGCCTAGCCTCTTCCACTCATCACATCGGGTTGGACATAATTGCAACAATCTTCCTTGCTTGTTCTACGGTCTCTAAATATCCATTACACCTAAATATCCATTACACAGTTTCGAATCAATATGTAGATGATTGTATAAGTATATGGCCTAGCATTGTCTTTCTCAAAATTAAAATAATTTTAGAATAATTGGTACTAATCATTATACATACAAATGAAAAACAAAGTTCTTTAACTTGTGAGGAGTGCAAGCCAGACAAACCTAATTTGAGTTCGAGGCCTTAATGAACCTCGGCTCCTTAATTAACAAGCTACTAATCGAATTCGAGCCCGCTTACTTATCAATATTAGCTCGAACATTATCGAACCAAGTTGAACTAAATTGAGTTTGACTCATTTATCTAATGAGTTCACCCGAACTCGAGTTTAAGGTGCATAGCCAATTTTACTAATAGTTGGTTCCGTCTAGTTATTAAATGTAAATAAATATTTACAGGCCAAATTTCACATTTGTAAGTAGATAAAAGAAACATTGAATTTTTGGAAAACAAATTGGAGGTGAATAAAAAATTAAAAAATTAGAGGGATTGTCTTGCAATTATTATACGCACTCTTTCATCTCTTTGCCTGGTACAGTTCTGTTACCTCTATTCTATGCTCTCTGTATAAGCTGAAACATCACAAAAGTAAGAAACCAAAAACCCAAAC